ATATTATCTCAATTTCTATCATTTCATTTAATTGGATGATAGCATACTATCGAATTCGACATCGGCGTGGATTTCTTTAGAACCATTTTTTTAATCTCATCGTCTGTGCAATTTTGGGAAAAGGTTTAATTCAGGAATTTATGGAACTCAACTAACTCATCTTAACCAGTTATATGCTAGCATGCGATTGAATCGAATCGACATGCACAGATAATTTCATTTATGAACCCATTCCACTTCCAACCACGCCAGCATTTGATTGGCTCATCTATACAACAATTCCTATGTCAATCACACCACAGATTAGCCACTCTCCACTCTCCACTCTCCCACTTATTGCAGTCTTACACAAAGTTCACAAATCCCCCCCCCACCGTTCCTTCCCGCATACAATAGTTTGCAGTACAAGACATTGTGACCCACCTTTCTTCAACTAAGGGACCATTCGACCAACCACTTTGGTTATAACGGAACTACTGGCTGCACTGCACACTTTCCCGACCGAGCACATTTTTCTGACTTTACTCAATCCATCAGTCTTGACTTCACTTCATACAACCACAACCCCAGCCTCCCCCAGTGTCCCATCTTTTTTTCTACTTTCTAACTTGTCGGTTGTGTATACGGAAGTATCTGTGTGTAAGTGTGTATCTCCTCCTTACCCAAAGAAGTTTACATACAGATACATCGAATCGTACATCAAAGTTCAGTACCAGACCAGACTACCAGTGCCAGTACCAGTATCAGCACAGTACCCTACCGAACAAATTGTTTAATTGTTTAATTCGCCTGTGCTTTCTTGAATCAATCTATTCTCTTTTCATTCATCCCGCATTCCCACTGCCTGCATTCACACTGCAGCGATTTTGCCTGATCAATCTATTAATTCCCCCGTCTTCTTTTTACAGTTACGTTTGCAAAAAGTCTCCTTCTCAGGAACGAACCACAAGAAATAGTTCTAGAGTCCCGACGGTCCAACTATTACCATTGCCATTACTATTACTACGACCACGACTACCACCACCACCTCGACCACGACCACAACGACCATCACCACTACGACTTTATTATTACCACTATTACGGAACGAAACATTGAACCCGCAAGAGCCCCCCTTCAAGAAACACAGGTACGTACCCAAAAGAAAAAGCAACCAGGCACCACTTCAAATTCCGCATCCAAGCACCACCCCCATCTTCCGCAACCGTCAACCCATATGTACCGCGTACTGTATCATAACCGTACCGTACCGTACCATACCACCATACCACCATACCACCATACCATCTCTCAACCTGGAACATTCTCCCCAAACTCCCCCCTTTCAGTACAGTTTTGATCGAATCAAATTCAACGATTCTTTGGAAATTGATCGAATCGAGTAAATAATTTTTCCATGTCCGGTACTAATTCTTATCCTTCTTTTTATCAGTTACAACTACTATTCAATTACCACTGCCCATTCACAACCAATACAATACACGCTTACATCATCCACAACAATTGCCTTTAAGGAGTACACCTCGATCAATTACATTACCACTTCCATTTGCAATTATATTACATACAATTACAATCACCCGCATCAGGTAAATTCATTCCTCGATTCATTCGATCTATCTATCTCATCCAATCCATTCATTCATTCTCTATCCCTCTTTACCGCTTTTCTCGGTGCTCGGCAACCAAGAAAAATTAAGGCGCGCGGAGGCCTTTGCTCTTCCAGTTAAATTTCAGCCCATCTTTTTTTTTCTTTCGTAGGCTGAGATAATAAACTCGGCTCAACCCAAAAATTCCCACCATTCTTAATCAAGTCTTCGTTAACCAGGTTTCTGCGACAAAGCAGGACAACAGCCTCTCCACCACTTCCCCATAAGCAGTAAGGTCGTCGGCAACCACCTCAAAACAGTCACTCTCGTCATACCTTACCTCAATTAAGTTATTTTATAAATCTTATCAAAATGGCCGATATCACAGATCAACACGACCAAAATTCTCCAACAGCTCTCGATGAACATGCTGTCGGCAATGGAAACCCAATTGCTGGATCCGATGCTCGTGGTATTAAACGCGCAAGACCTGCCACCGCAGATGACGACGATGACGATGATGATAAACCCGGTCGCGAAAGAAGAAAAATCGAGATCAAATTCATTACAGATAAATCGCGTCGCCACATCACATTCTCGAAAAGAAAGGCCGGTATCATGAAGAAGGTTAGTTTTCACTCGTTATTTATGTCAATAATGATACGCGTTCACGCAATGCGACGCGCCTATCGTGTGCGAAATGATAGCTGATTGTATATGATTGCTTTTTAGGCATACGAATTGTCAGTCTTAACTGGGACTCAAGTTTTGCTCTTGGTCGTGTCCGAGACTGGTCTTGTATACACTTTCACAACACCAAAGTTACAACCTTTGGTCACAAAGGCGGAGGGAAAGAATCTGATTCAGGTATGCAAATAATTCAGCCTCACTCGGCTCAATAAGGACACGATGCTAACATACATTTATTAGGCTTGCTTGAATGCACCCGAACCTTCTGGAAATGGTGAGAACGGAGTTGATGATGGAAACACTGTCGAATCACCCGAGGAGCCAACTCCACAACATTTACCTCCACAACAACAAGGTCGTCCTGGAATGCCTCAACAGGCACCACAAATGCATCAAGGTTATGGCGTTGGTGTACAAGGGCTATCGCAGGAACAGCAACAAGCTATTGCTTATCAAAATTATATGGCTCATCAACAACGAGGAGGTTATATGCCTCCACAAGCTGGTATGCCACAACCGCAAACACATCAATCATAATACAATCGCGAAGTCCCAGTACACGAAACGGGTCAAATAAGTCTTTGAAACTTTGATACCCGGCACATAATGCAAGAGTGTTCTGCACCAATCGTGTCTTGCGGGGTTCGATTCTCTAATGTTGTTTCCGAAGGTGTTAAGGTGTCATTTTTTCTTCTATTATATGGGGGTTCTCTTTCGTTTGTCTGCACAGACGTATTTTCCACATCACCAAAACAGACACAATTTGCGATAATGAGATTAATAAACCTTGCCACCATTTGGAATTCTGAATATGGTGAAAGGGAAGGGGGCGTGCAAGGCGGTTGGTTGGTGCGGGGGCTTTGGCAGGCAAGGTGGGCGGCCAATGTTTGGTTCTGCGAATTCCTCCTCTTTTTTTTCTGTTTCTCTCGTCTGAACGTTTGGTGGTGATGGTGATGGTGGATGATGCATTGAAAGATAACATAGTTCATTCATGATGGGATGATATCAAAAGGATGGTTCGTGGGAAGTGGATGCAGGTAATCAGGCAAATTTCTAGCTCGAGGTCAGGTCGTTGTAGCAGCTCTCTCTTGTACAGTAAAATCATTTGGGGAGGACGAGAACTAAATGAAATAATCGGTCTGTTCAGAAGTTTCTTCAAAGTGCGCCGTGATTTTCCTGAGTATCACGAAAGAAGGATTTCTTACTTGGAATGAAAGAATATTAAGTATTGAATGAATGAATGAGGTGAACTCGCTTCTGTTGAATTTGGTAGTACTGCATTTTCCTGTGCATAGCTGATAGATATATTTTGCCTCTTGCTTTTGTGGGACCTTGATGTCGCCTCTTTGGCCTTGGTCTTGGGCTTGCAGTTGTAGTTGTAGTTGCAGATATCTGCCAGGAGATCTATCTGATGCTAATGTGATGAGACGATGGCAATATGATATATATATGGCTAGGTATAGATATCAATAGGTAGGTATATGTGAATAGGTAAATATACTCTATACTGTGTACTATATACTATTTTGCAATTGCAATTGTAGATGGGGGTTGGGGGTGGGAGTGGGAGATTTACTATTTCAGGAAGAGAGGAGGGAGGGGAAGAGGGGGATGTGGTTTGTTTGTGTTTGTTGGGTTGCTTGGATGGATAGATAGATAGATAGATAGATAGATAGATAGATGATGGGATTTATAGATGGGGGAGGGAGGAGGAGGGAAGAGGAGAGGAGAGGCAAGACGAAACTACTTCTGTTATATTTCTATATCCATAGTGTCTATTCTAAGGTGGTATGTTTATCTGTATGTGTGTGTATAGTTGTAGGTGTATGTATAGTTATAGTTATAGGTATAGGTATATTAATGTATGTATGTATGTATATGTATAGTAGGGGCGACATCACATCACAGCACAGCACTAGTAAGCTAACAGATGAATTGAACAAGGTGTTTTATCCAGATTTGTATTGATATTCATATGTGTATTTGTGATATATCTTCTGGTGTGTTCTGATCTGATCTGTTCTCTTCTGATCTGTTACGAACAAAAACCCTTCTTCTCTCCGTCCCCCTTCGCAACACTACGCTTCCATCCTCTCTATCCCTATTCCCATTTCATCCCTAGTCTCAGCTTTCAATTTTTCTTCCCTCCTTTCCCCACAGCACAGGCCGATGATTCATTTCTCATTGTTATAAACATGTAGTATAGTATAACACAGTATAGTATATTATCTAACAATCTTCCCAACCACTCAACCACCCCTTTAAGTCTTTGCTTCTGATACATCGTTGCTGCTTATGCTTATGCCTATACCTATACCTATACATGTACCTGTTTTTTATACCTTATACCTCATACCTCAACAAACTTCAATATCAATGCCAGCGCTCCCATATATACCTTGCATGCTTGTGATTCTGCTAAACGCCATCGATCCATTCGTCCATCCATTCTTTCATTCATTCGTTTCGCTACAACACAAAAGCAGAAAAAATGGAAAGGCAAAGAAAAGCAAAAACACAGCCAGAACAGAGTAGAAAGGAAAAGCTTCATAAAAACAAACAAACAATCAATGTACAATAACAAGCAACACCCAATCTTTCATACTCATCAACCCATCCCTAATAAGCTAGGTAGAAAGAAACCTTCAAATCTCAAGTTTAAAAGATAAAATCAAATAACAAAGTAAAAAAGCAATATTCATATATAAGGTATACGTATCCCTAACTACCCGTCCCGGTTCCTGAAGGACCAGCGTCCGACCCACCTATCCCTCCGATTCCCAATCCCGTACCTGTACCCCCACCCCCATCACCACCAGAAGGAGGAGGGCCTTTCCCATTACTCCCATCTCTATCTCTCCACCATTTCATCTTCCACCACCCACCCGTCGCATCTTGACTTTCTGATCTCATAGAACGACGTTTCCTCGGTGTAGGACGAGCTGTAAAGCCTGGGAAACCCGTTGAACGTCTTCTTTTTCTACGATAAAAAGATACTTCCCGCTGAAGAAGTGATGTATTTTCATCTGGAATAGGCGAGTCCACCCTTGCTTCCTCATCATAATTCGAGCTTCTAGGGAATGTCGATGCAAAGTTTGGTCTCTTCGCCCTTGGTCTTGTAGGCGTTGATTTCGCATCATCATCTTCTAATTCACCCCAAATCTCATCTACTTCTGAAAGACGAACTGCTTTCCTTACATGTCTTGTTGCCCCAATAATCGTATCGAGTTTAGTGGTCGGAGTCATGGGCTCGTCGCTTAGCAGGGCTTGATGTTCAGTTGTGATGGCGGCTTCTTCATCTGCGGTGTAGGATTCTGAAGAATCGTTATCAGTATCTTCGACGAGGCCGAGGCCGGGGGCAAGCGCACTTTGGGCTACAGCTGGTTGAGTTTGTTCTTCGTTGAGACGCCAAGAGAGAGCTAGGACGCCAGATAGTAGAATGGCCGTTCCAAGAGCAATTAGTCCTGCGTGTAGGGCAGGTAGTCGATCAGTCTGTTTGAAATATATGAGGCCATCGAGAATGGCTATGATGTTATAGATGCAAAATACCAGTGGATATAGCACACTGGTGGATACCAATTTGAGACCGCGATGCAGGAAGTATAGTTGTGTGAGAGCCAGGAAGACGAGGCCAAAGAGAATAGCCCATGATTGCCATCGATCGAATTGGTTGTGTCGATCAACAATCGTTCGGACCAACAGTTCGACTGCTGATTTGGCTACCAATAAAGAGTGGGCTGACAATACTCCACTAATACATCCATATGCCAATCCTCTAAGGAGTCGGATTCGAGGACTTGCAGAGATTCTTGGAACTCTCCCCAGAAACCATGCCAGAGCGACTATTCCCGCAACCAATAAAGTCTGCATTATCATCCAAATAACAAAAGTTCGTCGTCCGAGAAGTAATAGTAGTTGATCCAGCGAATGAGCCGGCTCTGGAATAGCCCCAAATATAGCAATCAAAATCGCTCCTGTCGAAACCAATAATGTTCCCCCCAAAGACCATGTTGTAAATGGTTCTCCAAGTATCAAAGTTGCGCAAATAGAATTGAAGACCAGACCCGAGGCTTGTAGAGTTGACAATACAGGTAGAGGTAAAGTTGTTATTTGGATCGTGCTGCCCACAAGATTCGATATGATAAACATGCCCATGCCCAGCTGCCATCTTCTCCTTCTATACGGCGGCCTTCGAACATGATGTGCCCCTTTCTCATCTTCTAGAATATGTGATTTGCGTTGGAGGGTTAAACCGAGACTTTGAACACTCGTGGAGATGAGTCCTACTAATATCCCAATCTGCCAATGTGTAAAAATGGTAGTTAGATAGCTGTGCAACGAATCTTTGAACTATTTCATTTCCAGGACGAGAGACTTTGACTTACAGCCACACTTCCCCCAGGCGATAGGTCGCCGAGCTGTCCCATTACGATGTATTGCAAAGCTTCATTTGGTATGGTAAAGTACCGTCCTCTGTCCGAGGAAGAGATTATATGGTGTAATAATTAAGTTTGAGAGAAACTTGTTGTGTAAAGTGATTGTTTCAACACGCGGTCAACATTAAGTCATATGCGATGTCCACCAGATCTCGGGGTATGTATAACAATCGCAAGTTCGATATCCTGAGTCGCGATGCAAATTACTCCAAGAACAACCGCTCTCAATGAATCACAACAAATATGATTCTGCAAATGTGACAGTGCGAACAACGAGTTTCAGATGAAATAGAAAGAATTTTGGCATGAATTATTCATTTCCCACGAGTCAAGGAACATTCCTCACCGTTCAAACAAGTATACTTCAAGAATACGTAAACGCCACAGTATCACATGATCATTAATCGGGACGTCGCTTCCCTTATCGCTTCTGGACCTTGGAGCTATCCCAGGTTGTTAATCCCCAACCTTGTTGTTGCTATTGAAGCTCCAACGTTTCCAACGAGTATCAACCTTTCCACATCTCTCGAGTAGACGCAATCTTTCCCAGTAATTTCACATCTACCAATTGCCCATCATGTCGCACGCACTTTCGGATGACCAAGTAAGTGAAGCTATTTCCAACAATCACTCCAGCATCAAAATCCTATGCTAATGTTATGTCTAGGTGTCGCAGGTACAGCTTCCCTTCGTCTCCCCAAGGCTTCCCATCCCCAGAAGCGGCATTAACGCAATGTGAAAACAGGAGTTGAAGAAGATGACGGCGTTCATCAAACAAGAAGCCATGGAAAAGGGTCGCGAAATCGAACTCAAAGCAAATGATACGTCTCCACCAACAACCCATTTTCCATCCGCCTCCCCCCTAACATACCCAAACAGGAATTCGCCATTGAAAAATCTAAGCTCGTCCGTCAAGAAACCTCCTCTATCGACACGCAGTATGAGAAGAAATTCAAGACCGCCCGTATGTCCCAACAAATCACTCAATCGACCGTCGCAAACAAGACTCGTCTCAAGGTTCTATCTGCCCGTCAGGAACTCCTCGATGGGATCTTTGAACAGGCGCAAGGAAGACTCAAGGAAGCTACGAATGATAAGGGTAAATATACGGAGATCTTGAAGAATCTTTTGTTGGAGGGCATGTATGCATTGAACGAGGGAAAATTGCAGGTCAGAGGGAGAAAACAGGATTATGACCTCATCAAGAAGGCAATTGAGGAGGCGCAGAAGGTGTACAAGGAGAAGATGAAGAAGGATGTGACCGCGAGTATAGATGAGAAGAATCCTTTGCCGGAAGAATCGTAGGTTTCTCCAGTTTTAAGTGGGATGAGGTTGGAAGCTAACGTTTGGATAGTGCTGGTGGTTTGTCCATTATTGGTGGAGGAGGCAAGATTGATATCAACAATACCTTTGAGGAGCGTCTGAAGTTGCTCCAGGATAACGCATTACCCTCTGTTCGAACCACATTATTTGGTCCTAACGTTAACCGGAAATTCTATGATTAGTTGTTTGGTGGATGATGAGCGTTGTGTTTTGAGAGTCTCAAGGATGGAAAGGAGGTACGAAGGAGCTTTGCACATTCCAATTATACAACATTGCAGGTTTTGTAGGTAGAGCGTGTATGATACATTAACATCAACATCATTAAAATTGCATACAGAATGTTTGGTCTTGAAATATACAAATCAATATGACCTGCTTTAGGCGTGACTCCCATATCTTGAGCGCAGCACTAGTCAGTCTACTTTGCCTGTTTCACAAAATTAGACATGCCCTTTTGCATTCCTTCCAGAGATTCTCCCTGTTCATAATATTTCTTCGTCTCTTCATAAAACATATTTTTTGGTTTCCGCCTAGTCCTCACCGTATGTTCTATTCTCCTCTCCACTAAATTTAAAATCCCACTTGTTTCCACCTTTGAGATGTGAGCGGCACCCGAAGCCATGATGCCAAAATTAGCAAATCGATCCGTCAATTCATCTACATCTTTGTTAAACTGCATCTCTGTATCTTCATCTGTCAGGTCTAGATCTTCGGCTCGTCCGTCATCAATCCCAATATCTAGGAGGAGGATGAGAGCCGAGAGCTCGGGATAATCGGTGGTGCGAGTTATCTGGAAGGGGGGATCGTTGAGACGCTGGATGATGGAGGGGATGGAGAGGGATTTTTGGGGCGGAGAGAGGGATACGGGAAGAGAGGAGAAGAAGAATGTTAGGGCTAGGCGGCGACGAAGTTCGTGGAGCTTTGAGGAGCGGGTGGGTGGGATGGAATTTACTATGCCGAGACGGAGGGAGGCGAGTTCGACGGTGTTGAAGAGGGTGGCGCAGATTGTTTGGGACTATTGGGGGGTGGGGAGGTTAGCTTATATTCGGGACTGGAGATTGAGGGCTGAAGGGCTGAAGGAGACTTACGGATTCTTCCCATACATCTGGATCGATCCAGAGACATAGACTGTGCAGTGTTGTCTGTACTTGCGATAAGAGATCTCCTCTTTCTAGTAAGACTGGATCTATGCCCAGTCTCAAGAGTATACATATAGCTTCTAGTCTAGTTTCTTGCTGGAGATGCTTGGCTATTAGATTCAAGAGACCGATTAAAGCTCGGACTTTTGACCAAGGTTGATACGAATATGCATCTGATATCTCTAGACGTGGCTTTACATTTTCAGATAGAGTGGTCGCTGTATTCGTAGCACCGATAGATTTGAACATCTTCCTGATGACTACAGGTGTAACCAGCCGGTGAACTTGTTTTCGTGATATTGCCAAAACCGAAGAATAGGCATTTCGAAGATCATTCTGTTCTTCCGAACAGAAGTCATCCAGAATCCACTGAATGATCTCATCGGGCAATTTCTTTCGATACGCAATCATATTCTCCGCGAACCCGGATACAAATGTTTGATGTCTGATCTGAGGCTCGGCGAGATCATTCTTCCAATTTTTCAGCAGTGAAGATGTTGGAAATGGTTTCCTCTTAATCGGGGGACTTTCTCCAGTCTCGAAAAAGTACCATCGACTGCCCACATTTCCGGCTTCTGTTCTCTTAACAGCCTTCAAGACTTTCTGAATATCCTTTCCGCCACCATCTTCTTTCTCCTCGTTTAGTTTTCGTAGGATGCCACCATGAATATCATCGTTGAAGGCGGTAGGTTCATCATCTCCCATCTCCGTATCTTCCCCGACTATTTCCTTCAGCCTTCTTTCTTTTTCTTCGAGCGCTCTATCGGCCACCGCAGTTCCCATGAGATGTTTCAGATCAAATTTATATTGTGTTGTTCTAAGAGCTAATGGAGAACGCTTGGCACTTGAGATTGGGCCATTTCTAAATCTGGAGGCCCTGGGGGATGCTGGAGCTAGCGCGGAAGGTGTCACAATTGGCGCTGTACGATTTGTCTTGAAGATAACGTTGAGATCTTCCAAAGAACTATCAGAATCGCCTTCGTCGTCTGAGCATGGAACAACGCCATTCGAGATATTGGAAGAGGATTGCGGAATGTTTACCGGTGGAGTTGATAAAGAGGAGGTAGATTGTGGAGAAGATGGCGAAGAAGATGATTGTGGGGAAGACATAGGTTCCATAGTTGCACTTGAGACTAGGCCTGTTGGCTGAGAGTTTGTGGAAAGTAAAGATCCGGATGTTATCTGATCATTGTTGCGCGAAGTTGTGGATAGAGGGGCAGATGCCGATGTGGAAGCCTGTTGTGTCGGCTTGAAAAATTGGCGAATGTTTCCATTAGTTTTACCCTTCTTTGAAGACATGACCAACTAGCACGTTCAGATATTATAGCAGATATAGAAACACGTAATGCTTTATTCAATCCATGAACACCTTCTTGTCAAAGGTGCGTATCAATCTCTCCAATTTCGATGAGCTGCAAGTCGCGTCTGTGTCGCGTAATCGATAATGCTTGTAGACACGAACATCACGGGATGACGAATTTTGGATCACTTCAATCTTGGTGTTTCTATTTTGGGTATTAGGTAAGCGCCGGGGCGGCATTCACGTTGCGATCGACAGTCATCCAATTTAGATGAAACTATTTGACGACTACTTGTACTTAAATTCTACTTGTGATTAAAATTCTGGGCGACGAGCGATCGGATTGTAAAGATCTTCATTAGAAAGTTGATTTTTTTGAGATTTTTTTGATGAGTATGTGTCAATCTTGAGAGTGCAGTACCGTCCTGCATACTCCACGAGTCCACCATCAAAAGATCAACCATCTTGGCTCCATGGTTAAATCCGTCCCCTGCTCCACCGCGGATCTAAAAGTCCCTGCGCTTCCGTTTTACTTCCAATTTGATGCAGATGTCAAACGTCCATATGTACAATTTTGTTGATGGTCCGGTTCGGATGTTGGCCATCCTGCTCAGAGGGAGTCTAAGCCTCGCGCTGGATTGTGAGGAAGAATATTTTTATGCATGCTAATTTTATCTGGCGTAAGTAGCAATCACCTTCGCCTCCAAAGTACATACGTGAGCAATGAGATGAGAGATTATTGTAGGACCGGTCGAGCGTTGATCATTATTGATATCGGTAGATGATACATACATACCCCTCTCTTGAGATTAAAAAGGTTAATAAATGATACTTTAGCAGTCCTTAGCAGTACATCTTTTTATATCATGCAGACGGTACTTTCTTCACAATTCACATCATGCATGCATCTCGCTCTACTTAAACCCCGAGTGGTACCTAGTATCGATAGCTGGTTTCGGATAGCTACAAAAAAGGGATGAATGAGTGAGGTAGATGATCAATGTACGGCTTTATCCATTCGCTTAAGAAAGAGTAAAGAGGGATCTACGGAGTACGGAGGTATGAGAAAGATCCAGCCAAGTCAATCACAAATAAATTGTTTGGTGTTTTGCTGATGGAGCAGATTGATAACATGGTACCTAGGGCAAGTGAAAGTTGTATCAACATTCATTTGAGCAATATATCTTTTACCCTTTCTCCTTTATGCAAATGACCAAGTGCACTGTACACACCTAGGTAGGTCGCGGTTGTTGATAATGAGACGTCTCCCAACTGCTCACGGTCAGATGTAATATCCGAGAGCTTTTCTCCGAATCTCCTTCCTCCTTCATCCCTCCATGAATCAAGATCCTTTGTTCGGCCGAATTTTCCACTCGACTCCAGCCCCAGCCATTTTATGAGATGCTTACGATTATATTATTATCTAAGTGATACCATGTACTTACATAAGTCAATTTCTTCTTTTTCTCTTGGTCCTCTTGGTATTTATCCAATTATTTTCCACCCAAAAGAAATAAGTCGGGTAAAGTACATCCTAAGCACTCGACAATCCGCGAGTATAAACTCCGGATCTAATCTTGTAATACATCCCTCCAAAATACCTACCTATCTAGACAGAATGTCCTGTGTATCGATATGCAGTGATACATCCAAAAAGTCCCTTCCCTTCCCCTCCCCCGAAAAAGTCGTGACAAAGCTCAGCACAGTAATAAAGTAAGATCTTGCATGGGCAGCATGGACAATTCCCTCCTTTCCAGAACAATCGTTTGTTGATATTGAAGGTTAACCCCTGAACTTGTTTCTAAAATATGGTTGGCGTAAATGTGAATCCTAGGTTTCTGGAGCACCCTCGCACCCTCCCAGCCAACGTGCCTCTCAAGAACATTTGGGAATTTTCAGCCTCTCGAAAATTGTAAGGCGGTACAGGGACAATGTCGATGGATGGGTATGAATCAGTGAGCATGAATGAGAATGAGCATGAGCATCAGTGTGAACATTTTTGATGTTTCCCTCCTCTTCTCAATCCAGTGCAATTCTAGGGGTTTACTTTACATTCAGGTGTATTTAACCTAGGTATCTACGGAATTTACTAATTGTGCTGAATTCCGTGTATTGCTGTGCGTGCTAAGTGCCTAGGTACTATCTATCTATCTATCTATCTATCTACCTACCTACCTACCTCCCTACCTCTCCCTATGTACTGGCAGCATTCGGACACTCCCTTGCTCTCTTAATAACAACCACCATCTACGAGGACAAATCAATCATTAGTTTTGCGGGCATCCTTTCTTTTCCTATTTTCCTTAGAGACTACTCTACTCTGGGCTACCCAAGCCAAATAATTTCGATCCATCCCCTCTTTCTACTCCGTATTCTTTTCCATCCGCCATAATCAACCTTTCTTTATTATCCCTAGCTACCTACTTTTGACTTTCGTGAAGCATGGAAGATACGTGATATGATGTATGCACGATTCTAGTCTCACATACTACTATTATCTACTATTATCTACTATTATCTATTATATCAATTCCCTCTCCACAAATCCATCATCCGCTCTCCGAATTTCGTCGGTTTCATGTGGCGTTTGCTACTACTTCTTATTTGTTCTTTAGCTGTTGCTCAATAAGCATTTCACGAACTCCTCTTACCCCCCCCGGAACTTCCAGAGCATTTCATTCACTTGCTCAAACCTAACTCAAACCGTAGACTCCGACCCTCTTCCTTTCTTTCCTCTCAACATCAACAATCACCACAATTTTCCTCGAAACTTCACCAATTCTACAATTCGATCCATTTTCCGTATAGGGAATCTGCTCATACACAATCTTCCAATTGCCCCATACAACCTTGCAAGGTTCAAATATTCAAAAAAAAAACTACCGCCTATTCGCGATCTCCTGGCCGACTCTTCCGGTACCAAATTAAGTTGTCATAAGCGACCATTCTAAAAGTACCAGGCCTTCTACTGTGTGGACCTCTGTTATAACGATACTTCTTACCGTTGCTCGTCGATATTAATTTCGTCTCTGTCGAAAGTTCTAGTCGGGTCTCAATTGTTTCAATCGTCTTGTCTCTTTCACGAATTATACTTCAACGCCTGAATTCATTCAAACACTGGCGGACATATTTACCTTGCCTGCGGGCTCTTGCCTCAAACTGGGCTTCCGCCCCAATCACAGACGATCGCAATCATGCCGGACGTCGACATGTACGCAGAACCCGAGGAGGATGCACCTGAGCCAGGGACGAGGCGAATGAGATGGGCCACACAAAGAGTGCCCCCCAAAGGTAGTGATAAAAAGAGGACGTCGATAATGGATCGATTGCATCCGCGTAAATCGCAAAGTAGTGAGAAGAGAGACTCTGCCGGCGCAAGTTCAATGGGAACGGATCTTGACAGGATACAAGAAGAACAATCAAATGAAGCTGCGGAGGAACAGGCGGAGGATGACGATAATGACGGTCAAGGACCTAGAAAGGTTTTCTTTAATCTTCCGTTGCCACGGGACGCGATCGACGAGTCGGGTCACCCCTTGGTGCATTATAAACGAAACAAAATCAGAACTGCAAAATACACCCCTTTGAGTTTCATACCGAAGAATATTTGGTTTCAATTCCACAACATCGCGAACGTGTATTTCTTGTTTTTGATCATTCTCACCGTAAGTCCAGGTCTCGTAGACTGCATATGTGAGGCTGATGATTCGTATAGATCTTTAGTATCTTTGGTGCATCTAATCCAGGTCTCAACGCTGTTCCCTTGATTGTTATTGTCGCAATTACAGCCATCAAAGATGGAATCGAAGATTATCGCAGAACCATTCTCGACAATGAATTGAATAATTCTCCTGTTCATCGCCTTGTTGACTGGAACAACGTAAACGTCAGCGATGATGACATTTCACTATGGAGAAGAATCAAAAAGGCTACTTCACGTTGGATTGTAAGGACACTCAAGAAAATGAAGAAAGACAAAAAGCTACCCGGAGAGACGTATGCCCAACGTGCTATGGATGTGGACGAGCCTCGACCCTCTTTTGAGTCGAGAGCTGCGCGAGACGACATTCAAATGACACCAGTGCCCTCTCCCCTTCCACGAGATGACGAGCTTGATGTTCCCGATCGCCCAACGACGGCTTTCTCTTACGATGCCAGCGGAAAAGCCCCTGCGGAGAAAAATTTCGGAAGTTTGATCAACCGCAACAATGCAGTAACTGGAAAACCCAGATTTCATCAGGATTATTGGAAAAATGTGCAAGTTGGAGATTTTGTTCGTATCTACAACGACGATCAGATCCCAGCAGATATTGTGATTTTATCTACCTCTGACCCCGATGGAGCTTGCTATGTTGAAACGAAAAATTTGGATGGAGAGACGAACTTAAAGGTACGACATGCTCTTCGTAGTGGCCGAAGCATTAAACACGCTCGCGATTGTGAACGAACGGAGTTCACTATTGACAGTGAAGCACCGCACCCTAATCTTTACCAATACAGCGGTGTGGCTCGTTGGACGCAATACAATGGAAAGGATGGACCAGGCGAGGACATGGTTGAGCCGATCTCGATTAACAACTTGCTTCTTCGTGGATGCAATCTCAGAAACACGGATTGGATTCTCGGAGTTGTTGTATTTACTGGTTTTGATACCAAGATCATGTTGAACTCTGGAATCACTCCAAGTAAACGCTCACGTATCGCCCGGGAACTCAATTGGAATGTCGTTTACAATTTCATTCTTCTGTTCACCATTTGTTTCGCTTCTGGTCTTGTCGAAGGTATCATTTGGGGACAAGGCAATAATACCATTGATCTATTCGAATTTGGTTCCATTGGTGGAACCCCGGCACTTGACGGTTTCATCACTTTTTGGGCTGCTCTTATTCTTTTCCAGAATTTGGTACCAATTTCATTGTACATCACGATTGAAATCATCAAGACTTGCCAGGCATTCTTCATCTACAGCGACAGCGAAATGTATTACGACAAACTCGATTATCCTTGTACGCCTAAATCGTGGAATATTTCTGATGATTTGGGACAGATTGAGTATATCTTTTCCGACAAAACCGGAACTTTAACTCAGAACGTCATGGAATTCAAAAAGGCCAGCATCAACGGAGTTCCCTACGGAGAAGCATACACTGAAGCCCAGGCTGGTATGCAAAAGCGTCAAGGTATTGATGTAGAAAAAGAAGGTGCAAGGGCTAAACAGCAGATTGCTGCAGCGCGTGCTAAAATGCTGGTCGATGTTAGAAAACTTCATGACAATCCATACCTTCACGATGATGATCTGACTTTCATTGCTCCTGATTTCGTTACCGATCTCGCTGGCGAAAGTGGTAAGGAGCAGCAAGACGCCAATTATCAATTCATGTTAGCTCTCGCTCTTTGTCACTCGGTTATTTCAGAAACCACACCAGGAGATCCTCCCAAGATTGAATTCAGAGCTCAGTCGCCTGATGAAGCAGCATTGGTTGCTACTGCCCGTGATGTTGGTTTCACTGTTCTTGGAAACTCGCCAAATGGTATTTTGTTAAACGTTCAGGGCGAAGATAGAGAATATAGGGTTCTAAACCAACTCGAATTCAACTCGACCAGAAAGAGAATGAGTGCCATTATCCGTATGCCAGACAATAGAATCATACTCTTCTGTAAAGGTGCAGACAGTATAATATATTCTCGCTTAAAGCGAGGAGAGCAAGCAGAGTTGCGTCGTACGACAGCGGAACACCTGGAGATGTTTGCAAGAGAAGGTCTACGTACCCTTTGTATCGCCCAAAGAGAGCTTGGTGAGCAAGAATATCAAGATTGGAACCGCGAGCACGAGATCGCGGCTGCTGCCATCCAGGACCGTGAAGATAAGCTGGAAGCAGTATCAGATGTGATTGAACGCGATCTCACCCTTCTTGGAGGTACAGCTATCGAGGATCGACTGCAAGAGGGTGTGCCTGATACTATTGCACTTCTCGCCGAAGCCGGTATTAAGCTCTGGGTTCTTACTGGTGACAAAGTCGAGACGGCCATTAACATCGGATTTTCATGCAACTTACTCAACAATGACATGGAACTTATTGTCTTCAAGATTGAGGATGAACAGGTTTCTACCGCTGAAGCAGAACTTGACAAGCACTTGGCAGCTTTCAAACTCACCGGTTCTGACGCGGAGCTCAAAGCCGCCAAGAAGAATCACGAGCCACCGGCACCAACTCATGCTATTGTCATTGATGGCGACTCTCTCAAACTAGTTTTAGACGACTCATTGCGACAAAAATTCCTTCTCTTGTGTAAAGAATGCAAGTCAGTTCTTTGTTGTCGAGTCAGTCCTGCTCAAAAAGCTGCAGTTGTGGCAATGGTCAAGGGTGGCTTGGACGTTATGACTTTGTCTATTGGTGATGGCGCAAATGATGTTGCTATGATCCAAGAGGCAGACGTTGGAGTTGGTATTGCTGGTGAAGAGGGAAGACAAGCCGTGATGTCTTCTGATTATGCTATTGGTCAATTCCGTTTCTTGCAGCGACTCGTCTTAGTCCATGGACGATGGTCATATCGCAGATTGGGAGAAACCATTGCCAACTTTTTCTACAAGAACGTCGTATGGACTTTTACAATTTTCTGGTACCAGATATTTGCCAACTTCGACATGACATATCTTTACGATTACACTTACATTCTCTTGTTCAACTTGGCTTTCACATCCGTGCCTGTTATCTTCATGGGTGTTTTGGATCAAGACGTTTCAGACAAAGTCTCTCTTGCAGTTCCTCAACTCTATAGACGAGGCATTGAGCGAAAAGAATGGACTCAAAAGAAGTTTTGGTAAGTATAAATGAATCCCATTCCGATACAGACCACTAACATAGTGTAGGCTTTACATGGCTGATGGCTTGTATCAATCTGTCATAATTTTCTTCATGGCATATTGCTTGTTCGACTCTGGCACTTTTGTTACTTCAAGCGGCCAAAACATTGATGACCGAGAGCGATTTGGAGTTTACGTAGCACCTGCAGCCGTCGTCGCCATTAACGTATACATCCTAATTAATACCTATCGATGGGACTGGCTCATGGTCCTTCTTGTCTCCATAAGTATTCTCTTGGTTTGGTTCTGGACTGGCGTTTATTCATCTTTCACCTCGTCGGACTACTTTTACAAAGCCGCTGCCCAAATTTTCGCACAAGCCACCTTCTGGGCAGTCACCTGTCTTTCGGTAGTCATCGCCCTTTTACCACGATTTGCTATCAAGGCTGTGCAAAAGGTTTACTTCCCTTACGATGTCGACATCATCCGCGAACAAGTTCGTCAAGGCAAGTTTGATTATCTTGATAAGTCCGATGAGCGCATGGACGCAGTGTCCAAGGATGGTTCATCGGCATCTTCTTCTGAGATCACGAAGCCGAGTAAGCACATCCACTATCCGAGCATTGATGAAGACCAACGACCCATTTACCCTCCTTCAGTTGCTCCGACGAACACCACGCACAATCCTCGAAGTCAAAACGGTAGCGACGGAACAGACTTTACAAGACATAGAGGTTCGATGGACCAACTTGGTCCTCGGATTTCTGTTGACAGGCCACGACCCTCCTTCGATAGATTGCGAACGTCGTGCGATCGAGTTAGACCAAGTTTCGAGGCTAGTAACGACTTTACTTCGGCAGCCCTTTTAACACGCTTAGAATCAAGTCAATCATTTGGGCCGTTAAGAAGTAGGAGGAACGAAGAAATTTCACAATGATACCCGAATATCATATTCACTCTTTTCCAGACCGGGAGACTGCGACGAACTGTACCATACATTTTCCTTTTCTTTTGTTGATACAGGAGATATTAAGCATAATGATCTGCAGGAGCGATCTACGACCTTTGTGTTCTACATTTGGTTTTCTTTTGCATTGGTGTTATAGGCGTTTTAAATGACATGAAAAGGCACTAGGCCATATTATCTTATTTTGTTTTTGCTTTCTAAGTTCTTTTTGCTGGTGAGGGCATGTTGGTTTTGGAAAATAGTTCTAGATCTTCACTTCTGATGGTGTATACTCAGCAGTGATAGTAGGATCCGTGGTCCATTTGTATATAGCGATTGCAAAGCAGACAAGTGCAAAGAGCTTCAATATAGAGAGCAGTATAATCTAACCTATCATTTATATACCTTGATCACTGTTGTGACTTGCCCAGTGCCACGAAAATTGTAGATTGTAGGATGAATTGTACTGTCCCCATTTGTGATTTAACATGAGCTTCATTGGACTTCTGCAGTGCCTAGCTATGGTAATATATGACGGTCGTGATTGGAACTTAGATATTGAGTAATAGTAAGATTTAGTACTATTCGCAAAAGAATGAATGTTCTTCGAATGATCTCAAGTACCCAGTCTTTATTCCCCGGTAAACCGATTGACCTCAGATAACAAATTCCCAGCCTTGCATGCGAGGCTACTGGCAAAATCAATCTAAGTAATCCACGTGAAATGGCTTTAGTCCTACGCGATGCGCGTTAGCACTTTCAATCTCAGCCCTTACCTCAACTTTTTTTCACTTTTTCGTATATGAGATACAGCAATTGTGTAAATGTTCTCGAAATTTGATTGCAATATCATACCGTATATCAACTCCACAAGTTTGATTGTCAATTTGCCAAAACTTGCGCTTCGTATTCACTTTCTTTAACGATTTCAAAACTTCAAAAGGCGACCACTTTCTTCCTTCGGGTGCTAAGACTTGCAGTACCTCCCAACTTTTACCTTTCCATAAATTTATTCCTAATACTTTCTGTAAACTACACTTATCCATATCAATCTTGATTTCCTAAATATTCACCTTTGGATCGCATGCTCAGCTTATGAAACATCCGCAACTATGCCTGATGAAGCAGATATCATGGACGAGCTCCACGGGCTCCATGGGTTTGTACCACGAGTTATACTTATATCTATGATTGATACTGATAAATTGTTGATAGCGAACTGAAGAGTTTTCCCGCCGATGCCCATTGGTTTTGCCCCAAGCGGAATGACGAAGACTATGTCGACTATTCGCATCCAGATGACGCTGAGGAGGATATGAGCGCAGAAACCAAGAAGGAGCTTATACAGGACGCCCATCAAAGACAGGCTGTTGCATATAAATTCTCTCTCACAATAGGATTAGATCGTGATGCTGGGGGGCGATGGTAGAAGGCTACCTGGAACGTTTGAATAAGCTTCTGATGTGCTGTGATAAATGTGTGCATAATTGGCATATAGGTCGTAAGGCATATCTCAAGGAGCTAGCAGAGTAATACCTCACAATATGCACTTGATCTTGATACTAACATGTCTCAGGAACTTCGATGATGAAACGGTTGCAGCGCTCTCGAGTCGCCTTAATGTCCTCGACTTTCAACGTATAGATAACGGGTTAGAAAGAAGCAGGAAAGTTATATCCGAAGTGGAATCTCCAATGAGGACGCAGAAATTGCTAGCTGGCTACGACTCTTCCCTTCTACTGTCGCTTTATGAATCACTTTGTTGCGTCGATTACCACAAATCCGCAGAGAACCTTTCGAAGCACTTCGATTTCGTTTTTGAAGAGATACAAGCAAAGAAAGTCCTGAGAATAAGTGATATACTGCCAGCTACAGGGCGTTTTCTATTCGACAAAAACCCTATTAGACAGCGTTTCGCGAGGTGTGCCTGGCAAAAGGCTACTACAATGCTCACACCCACATCGTTCGACTGGGTCGTGCATGACGCATTGTCGGACGCAATAGTTTCTGTGACCCAGGGAAACTACGATTACGAGGATATCATACGATTTTGGGAAGGTTTTCTTTTGATTTTAGAGAAGCTTGATGAACATTTGATAACACACTCTCTCCGAGCAATGGAAGTTCAACCAAGTGTGTACATACTTGCACTCAATCACTTAAGCTGTAAATCGGAAAGAATCAATAAGTTAGTCATCGAAGCGCTTAGAGGTTTGCTCAAGAAGTCTCCGAAGAACTTCTGGGCTGCATTTGCTACAATATCACCAGTTGCCGTTGCAGAAAACATCCTAAGATCTTGGGGCGTTAAAGAAAAACTGCAAACAATAAATTTTGAAGACCCTGAAACTTCTTTTATTCTGGCATGGTTACCTGAACTCGTGGAGTCACTTCCTTCCGATCGTCAATACGATGTCTGCAGTTTCGTTCTTAGATTTCTGGGGACTTATCAGACCTCGGAACACCCAGAGAATACCCAACTCGCTTGTCGTTGTGCTGCACTCGATACTCTCCGTGCTACTTTGAACACCTTTGTCGATTCAGAGTACGTTATTAATCCGTCGACGTCTCTTATATTCATCAATAACATCATGAAACTTGTTGACGACTACAAGGAGACGATCACAGAGTCTGCTGATTTGAAGGTGGAAAACACCACACACCAAGAAATGAGAAGACTTGGTATGCTAGTCATACGAGATGCTTTGGCTCTCGACTGCAAAGCTTTGAGCGCAGAGTTCCAAGCTCTTGCGGAGGATATTCCGATACAACAGGGTCTCCGAAGCCATTCTCAGCCAATTTGGCAAGGCGTTCTTGACATATTTAGGCCAGGAAATGTAGATTTAGCCAAAAGCATTCTGGCGGCAACGACTCACTTGACCGGATTAGATGAACTTACACCAAAGTCAAAGAAACTACCGCTTCCTTCCTCTCATCTACAATATAATAAAGACTTTCGTCAACTCACTGAGAACGTGTCTAGAATCTTTGAGCGGCTCAGCGATTTTAATGCATCTCATTTAATCGAGATGTATCGAGATCCTCAGACCTCTCGGCCACTGTTTGCAGCCCTGATGTCTGCTGATCAACAGATCTTCGAGGCTGCTGTTGAGGTTGTCAAAGCTGCAACGGATCAAATAAGCAAGCGTGAAGCAATATCGAGCTTATTAGGGCAAGCATTTGTGCCGATGTTGAATTCGTTAACATTTGCTGTTGTCCGGATCACCAAAGCCAAAAACTTTTCCCCTGTCCCATATTTATTCAAGGTTGGACGAGACACGCTGGATGCTCTTTGTGGAAACACAGGATTTTTAAGAACTCACCCATCTTTAGATTCTACAGAGCGAGGCGCCGTAATGTCTTGGTGGATCAATCAGTGGCGTGCCCTTGATGCGGCATTTGCTAACACAGAAGCTTGGGGGGGTCGTGTTCAACTTCCTAAGGAGACTCTGCAAGACTTTTGTCGGGATGGCATGGAATATGCAGAATCCTTGTTTGATAAGAACAGTATCATTGCTTCAGCCCTGTGCGAGTCTTCTAACTCGTCTCATGCTCACGTCCTGTCCTCAGGTTATATGTCGACAAGGGTTGCACAAAAGAAAGTATTACAAGTCGTTTGCTTGAACGTGAACGGCCTAACAATGATGCTGAGGCTGAGAGATATCTATCTGGTCAGTGTGATCACTAGTCTCCTCGGAAAACTTCTTCGATCATTAGCAGAGTTTGATGTTGAAGTACACGAGTATGCGCTTAGTTTTATTCAAGATGCGTGCTTAAATGAGGGCGAGAAGGGATACAGAAAGACAAACCTCACTAACCAACAAAAAGCTGAGCTGCGCGCTGCCCTTGACGAACATAAAGGCGTGGAAATTATAGAGAGTTATTCTACAACGGCTCAGAAGCAACAATCAAGAATTGATTCTTGGTCTAAGTCAGCAGGAGGTGTAAAACATGAGCCAACGTTCAGTGTCAAGGGGCGTCAAACTCAAACCTCGCTCGATACTTGGTCAAAGGCAGGAGACGGCAAAACATATGAGCCAGTCATTACTCAATCCAACAAAGCCTCTCAGGCACCCTTTACCCTTTCTGAGCATCATAAGAGTATTATGGACAAAATGAGAGCACAACCACCGCTAAAGACCGCCAAGGCTACTGAAGATTGGAAGGACAAACGTCGTAGAGATGAAGAAGAGAAAAAGAAGCGTAATGCAGCAGCGATTGCTCAAGCGAAAGCCCTTCGTGCTCCAGCCGCCTTGGTGAAGGGTGAGGGATCAGGTCTAAAAAACCTTAGCGGTGTAGCAGGTAAAGATCATGCGCCTGTTCGAAGTGAGATAATGGTAGGATCTTCAGATGAAGATTCAGATGATGATGATGACGATGATGGTTCCGACACGAAGTTTCTTTTCACTAAAAGTCGAGAGGCTTCAAACAAAGTCAGGGAGTACGAGGAGAGTAGAAAAAAGGCACTTCTACAAGCCACTGGTCCAGTACGGAAGACCAAGAAAGTTTACTCAAAGAAAGATCTTCGTGCTCGTTTGGAGCCAAATATGGACATTATATATCTCGAGCTTCTCAATTGGGACATCTTTCATGAGGGCGAGGATCCGCCAAGCAATAATGTTTGCAAAAAGATTGCAAGCAGTTTCCTCGACCTCGGTCTCTATAAAGAGACATTCAAGCCGTTGCTCATATCGGAAGTGTGGCGCTCTTTACTAACAGCCAAAGAAGAGAATCAATTCAAGCCCATTGAAATAAAGGTTTTGAATCGTTTGTCTGTTGATAAATTTATGGAAGTTAGCACAACTATGTCAATTTCCAATCAAAGAGACCTCATGGTGTACCAACAAGATATTGTACTCCTTTCCAAAAGCTCGAATCCACTTCAAGACAAGCAAGCGCCACATTGTCTAGCCCGCGTTTTCAGGACAACCCGCAAGCGTGATGCAGTGGAAGTCACTTACAGAGTCAGCAGAGATATTAGCCCTGAGCTCTTG